TATAAAAACAAAAGAAAGGGGGGGTGGGGGAGAGAAAGGGCGGGGGGGGGGGGGGGGGGGGGGGGAGGAGGGGGTGACAGTTAGAGCCTAAACGTAGTGGACTGTTTTTCCCTGGGGTGAAGATTTAACTCACCCCCTGCTGCTCATTGAAGTGACTGTAATGTCAGTGTTTAAGTCAGGTCAGATACTGATAACATAACTCCCATAGAGATCAGTCAAAACCAAAGTACTTTCCACCGGTTGAGGTTAATTAAATGGGTCTTACTTCACTCTTAGGCGGCTGAACCAAGTCTGAACTCTATTAGCAGATGTTGAAAATGTCAGTAATGTCTGGTTCACGATCTATTTAATATATATATATATACTGTATGGCTCAATTTAATTTTTCTGGAAAATATACATTCAATAAGTTGCAGTGAAATTGCTTAGTTTTGAAACAAAAAAATTAAACACATATCAATGCAAATTATAAATATTGAAATACATTCAGAGATCAATATTTGCTTTGTAAATGTCAATTTAAAAAAAAAAGACTTGTTTTTACACATTTATGTCAGCTTTTGTTATGCTTTGTAAATGTCAATTTAAAAAAAAGACACATTTATGTCAGCTTTTGTTCCCAAGTGTCAGGTTCAGGTGTAAAACCTGACTCATCCTCTCACTTCACCTGATCTGCCTTTATTGAAATGGAAAACATATCAGTGTAGAGCTTTCGTCAACCATATCAATAAAAACGCATGTTTTCGACGTGAACGCTAGCATCCCGTGTAGTCGCACAGGCGTGACGCGGCGTAGTTGTTGTTGTGCGTTGATCATTTATCTAATCAGGTGGATGAAGAAGCTCGCGGGGGTTAATTGGGAGCACACTCAAGTCTCCGTGAGTGTGAAATTGCATTTACGGTGCATTAAACAACAAAGAGCCTGTTTGTCTGCGTGTGTGCAGAGGCTTTGATGAACACGCAGACGTTGATGTGATAAGTCAACGTTAAACAGACGTCTGCTCCAGGAGCAGCAGCAGGTTCTCAGCACATGTCAAAAACTCGAAACAGAATTGTTAAACTGCCCTAAATGGTTTGGGTTTGTGAAACTCTCACTATTAACATTATTTTCATCATCATTTCACCATTCCTAACAAAAAAAAATAACATTTTAGTTTCCTTTAAAAGGCTCCTTCAGATTCCTTCCACCATTTTATCAAACCCCCTTTATAAATGTTAAAGAATTTTCTTTTCAGTTACTTTAGCCCCTCCTTCTCCAACTCCCCCTCAAATAAACCCTGTTACATTTTCCCAAACAGCGCCACAGCCAGATAAGCATTAGAGATTCCCTGTAAGAGAGTGAATCAGGCAGTGAATGGGAAGCGTTATTATATCAGGCTGCCAGCATTACAGTGAGTGCTGAGACACAGAGCTTCATGCTGGAGGTGTCCCGCTGGGCAGGAAATGTAGGGGAACTGGCTAAGCAGTGCAGGCTCATCAGCTCCCCGCTGCTCTCCGCCTTTACACCACTTCCTTATTACCGTGTTTACCGTTCGGCTTTTACGCCTCTCAGCCATCCTTCCCGCTGCACGCTCCAGGCACATGGACACGATTTAGAGGGAGGAAAGTGGGGAGCAAGAAAACAAACATAAAGAGAGGAAGGTCACAGCCCATCAGTGGAGAGAGCTGAGCCCAGCAGATCTCTGGCTTTGTACGTTTACTCGCCGCCTGCCGGGCAAGGAAGCACTCTGGGAACGGCTGAACGCATGTGAAATGAAGTAATGAGATGGATTGTGTTAAGTGGTTAGTTTAGAGCAGAACGGAAGCATCTACACACACATAAAAACACAACCTCCCCCCCACCCACACACACACACACACACTTCTGCCTTTCAAACCTGCCACTCAGCTCCATCTATTTCTGAAGTTTCTCTTTTTTATTGCAGCCATTTGATAAATGTTCTCTGGGCGGGTTATGTCACGTGTATGGCTGATTAATCTCATGGTAGTTGTGGATTAATTACAGTTAATCATGATCAATCCTGACAGTAATTAATCGATATAAATCAGCATTTCAAAATATGACCAAAAAACAAAATTTTCCTACAGTGTGTGGAAAGAACACGTGTATGGACTGAGGATTAAAGCAGTGGAATCACTGAATGTGCTGTGCACGTCTGTCCATGTGTTTAAATGTGTTGACATTTTTAATTCAATTCATTTCACAATGTAACATTATCAATGTGTTCATTATGGCATTCTTCACCAAAAATGTTTTGTAATTCGTACAGTACATTAGTCTACATCATTGTTCAAATGACAGGTTTTTCAACATAAAATGTTGATAGTGAGAGATCTTTTTTAGAACTCTTTTTTTTCATATTTCCCTGTTAAGGAAGTTTGTAGAAGTTGTCCAACAACAACTCTTCAACCAACAATGACAACATTTATTGCTTTTTCTTACTTTTTGGAATTTGATAGACTTAGTATTACAGTAAGTCAAACTCTAAAGTTACTACAAGAGCTGAACTTTTTATGCGATTATCCAGGGTATAACCTTAGAGAATGTTTTCTGATGTTATTGTATCTTCTTCCTCTGAACCATTTTGGTTTGTTCCTGATTATATTCCACTCATTGTTTCACAGAAATCTGAAATTTAAACAGGCATCTGAAGACTTTTCTCAATCACAATAATGCACGCCAAGCAAATATAGTTTCCCGCAGACCTACAGAACAAACTTCCCTCCCACTGTAACAGTGTCCTGGGGACATCAATAAAACAACAAACAGATTCTGATGTAACCATGTCCGACAGCGCTGACAAAAATTTTGCTGCGACCACAAAGTCCCGCCAGCGGCTGCAGCCGAGCACTGTAGTCTCCCTGTCTCCTGGTGGACCCTGGGTTTGAGTCCAGCACCTCAGCACACAAAGCCTGCAGGGTGGCCTTTAAGCCTGACTGAGCAAGGACCTGCTGTCCTGTCACTTCTGTCCCCAGCCCCCTCTCTCTGTTCCATGTTCAATCACTATTGACAGGTGCCCGAGCAGTTCCCTCTAGGAGAATACCTCGCTGCTACCAGAAGTGCTAATATAACATTTTTCAAAACATAGGGCACGTACACCTGCTGTCACTTTGTCTGACATGGTAAGAGGTCCGTACCGCCGCGGCCATTGTTCTCTGCACCTGTGGTTGTTGTTGTCGTCGTTCCCAAGCTTCAGAATCAACTAAAGTAAAGAAATCTTTGGCTCCGAGACCTGTTCACATTCTCATACAGCTTGGCTTTAAGAGCTGCCCATACACAATTAGGCCTTTGCTCAAGTTTAATCTGGTGGTAAGTGCCGCTCCGTTGAATCTGACCAACTGCGTCGTGACGAGCTGTCAGCTGCAGGGACAAAGAGGCCATCATCGCACAGCCGTCGTCGATGATTTCTCTTCTTTTTTTTTTTGTTGGTGAGTGAATATCAAAATAAAATGTAAGTAACCTGTTATTATTCTGCACTTACCAAGAGGGGTGTAAGTGGATGAAAATTGATCCAGCCGGCTGAAAAGCCGTTTTAAGTGTTTTTGGCCCTATCGACTCCAATCCAAACGACGGTTATATAAAGCACTAATTTCTCTCCCATTAGCAGATGAAGCCACAACCAAGTATTATTAGCCCGCCGCGTTGTAACATTGCTCCGAGACATTGTGTTTCTACTAATGGCCCCCTGTCTGGAGGAGATGGAAAAAAAAGTCTCCACAGATCAAATGGAGACATTTTCCACTAAATGCGTGCGGTGAAGCCGCTGTAGCGCTTTATGAATGATCATCTCAGAAAGGTGAGAAGTCATGGTGAACAGGAGCTGTCACAGCAGGAAGTGCGGCTCAACGTGAACAAACGGTGTGTTCACATTATGGATTCTCTCTGGATTGTTTGTACACTGTCATTACCTAGGGTCACTTCACAACCCTGTGTTAATGGATAGCCTGTCAGTCTGTCAAGGAACACAACTGTCATAGCGCTGTGTGGTAGAATTGTTATGACATGCTTTACAGTGATGGTAAAATGTAATGCTGTGGCTTGTGGTCATAGAGCTATCATTGACTCTCAGGTTGGTACAGGCTGATTAAAACCTGTCAATATTTGTATCTTCACTGTGTGTTTTATTGGAAATGGGACTTTTTGCTGAAAATGCTATTCCAGGATGGTATTTTTCTATCTGACAAAATCAGTGTCCCAGTTTTATATATACTGTGCCTCCATATTTTATATATGTATATATATTTATATAAATAATATAATAAATATACTATTATATTATATATACCATATCCATATAATAAATAATATTTATATAAATATTTATTTATATATATTTATATAGATATTTTATATATCTGTGCCCCCACATGACAGTACAACTGTTGATCTCAAACTTTTTTTGGTCATTCTTTTCAACCCTGATATAGAGTGGTTTTGTTTATATATAAGTGAAAATTGCATGGAGTGTGCATGGATTTGTATCCAAATATGCAATTGATGTGTAATTTATAGTTCTTAATGGCACCTGATAAACTAAAAGAATTGAGCTTGAAAGTGTTTGACTATGAACAAAGTGTACAAACCCTATATTTGGGGTCATTTTAAATTTGACCTGCACTCTCTCCAGTATTCTTCTTTTCTCTTATACTTCACATGGCTTCTTCAGAATTGTTCAAATGTTAAATATTTCTCCTCACCTGTGTTTGTATGCTGTCCTTCTGCAGCCAGTTTATCTGAATGTCACGTGTCATCACTGCAGGACTTGGTGTGGGAGCCTGAGCTCAGACCTCCTGCGTTACTGGTCGTCGTGGTTCCGGCCTTACCTAAAGGTGCAGCTGTGGAACTTCATGTAACTGCAATCCAGGATGATTACACTGAAAGAACTTCCTGTCACGTGACTGCAGCGTCAGCATGTGGACCCGTAGACTGCTACACTGTGATGTCTGCAGACAAGTGCAGTGCTTCCCTGTCCCTCTCCCTGATTGGACCTGGAGACGACCAGGAGGTCAAGGACGTGGAAGACATTAAAGAAGTGGTCGCTGCTACCTTCAAAGAAGCCATGAAGAAGATGGACGCCCGGCTGGTGCCACTGTGCGCGCGGGTGTTTTATAAGTGTGGCCATTCACTCGCGCAGCAGATTTCCAAAGGTATGTGGCTGTATTTCACTCAAGGTGCTGCACACCAGCTCCAAACCTGATCAAATATTTATACTCATTAGGAGAACTTATCCTAAGTAAGCTGTTCTGTTGAAGACAACACATCTGAGACACACGCACACACACTGCTGCTGCTGCCGCCGCCGCCGCACACACACCGCTGCTGCTGCCGCCGCCGCCAGTGGTGAAGCTTCACATCACTGTATTAATGAAAACATCAGTGACAGCCCGTCTTTCTCACCACACTCTGCTTTCAGAGGGAAGTTTGCGCTGACACTGGTTAAGTAAACTTCATAAAGTATTCCACTAAGAGCTCTCTCCAGAGGATCCTTGCCTCCTTCCTGTGTTTAATTATTGTAAGTCATTTGTTGTGTCTGTGTACAGTAACCCCAGCAGCTGGCTGTTTTTTGTCATCATTACACTTTGATATGCCTCCGTCTCCTGCTCCCAGGATCTGATGTTCTCACACAGACATATGTGAAGTGGAATTAGTTTTTTATCGTGAGAGATGTTCTCTGTGAGGGAAGAAGAGTGATGAGAGCCATCCATCACACAGGCTCGGTTGTCAACTCGGTGCAGAAGCAGTCGATTTACATTTTCGATTCGGTGCCAAAGTGGCCATTTAGCTGTCTTTTTTAGCTTTGATGTAGCTAAACTTTTGAATAAGATAATTACGACTAGATGAACAGTGTCGTACAAAGAAAAAAAAATCAAAGTTGAAATCCTCTAAGGTACCAAAAAATAGAAGTTCTCTGTTTACTTTTCCCTCAGTTTATTTTTTTAAGTTTGAGCTTGTGATGCTAATGGGTCCTAATAGGCCTCTCTCAGGGGTGAAACGTCTTCAAGAAACCTACTCCATCCAGTTGCCCTTGATGTAACTTGATATAATTTTTGGATGAAGATGACATGAATGACTGAGAACCTACACAGACAGATTAAATGGGCCATAGTTGTTCTTTTTTTCAATGTTCTGAACATTCTGACCAAATGACTGGTTGTCATTGGTAATGATTGGTTATCTGAGCTAAGTCAAGCTCAGTCTCTGTCCTTGACATGTATGTTTCTTTGATTATAAGCTGCACACACTGCCTCCCTTAATCCATTCAGTGACTCATCATTGCGCCGGAATCTCTTACCTCACTCTGCACGCACACAGCTTGGCCTGGTGGCTCACCCACGGGGCTTATTCATGGGTCACAGCCTCTGCTCATTGGGTGATGAATTGAAAAAGTCAAAGGGGAAAAAGTAACACCCCTGGCACCGTAACAACGCCACTGCTGCTGTCAACAGGCAGAGAACAACAACCGCTGCAAACAACACGTATTGACCTGACTGTAAGGCCCCCGTTCTCTGCCCCCCACCCCTTATATTTGAGTTACTTGCATTTGGTTTCACAGCTGAAGGACAGAACATATGCTGTAGATGAATCGGCGTGTCCTGACTTGTTACTCGTGGTAGCCAAGTTCTTTCAAACACAGTGCTTCACAGTACAAAACAAGAACAGCAACAAAAAATAAAACTGGCTTAAGATTTTTTCACTTTTCCCACCAACAGTCTGGTCGTTCGGGAAAATAGTGTTTTATATATATATGTATATCAACAATTTCTAACTTGTTTGAAATTGTTTTATTATCTTTTGTTACTGATCAAGTATTTCCTAGTTTTGCATTATTGTGTTGTACTATTACTATATGATATAATTATATAACGATATGTTGTGTATTCTGTGCACGGCCAGACCAGGTCACGATGACCACACCTATGTGTCAGTGTACTGTTATATGACGATGAAATGAGAGAGGAAGTCAGCCATGAGACGGGAACACGTGTGACCAATTAGTTCACACAGCAGCAGAGAGAGGAGGCAGCGTCCCAGCAGGCTGCTGCTAAATAGACAGGCTGTCATCAAGACCAGGCTCTGAGACACTCAGTGAATTCTCACATGCCCACTGTCCATCTGTAGTTAAGCCACACACACTCACACACACGCAGCTATTCTTGTTAGAACATTGCAGTCTTGGTGACTAAGACGTGTGGAAAGTTCCAGAACAGTTTGCACACTTTCTAAAAATGTGTTAAAAGATGAAGGGTGTCCTTTGGTAATATACCTGACCCAGTATTTATCAAAACAAATATTTTTTAACTTTATATAGTGAAACTCTCCAAGAATGGGTCTGTGATCCCTAGAGGTCCATGCAGGTACTGCAGGGTCGCTGTGAGTTGGTAACCCGGAACATTTTGAGCACATTTATATCTTATCATATCTTTTCAAATATTACCACATTGAAATGGACCTCACATATTTTAGTACTACTGTTTTTAGTACTTTTCTGTCTCCTAAGACAAAACTAGAGGTCTGTGTATTTTTTATATCAAAAGATGCACCAAATTATACAGTTAAATTATACAGATAAATATTTATGAATGTAGTTTTTTTTGGCATAGTCACTATTGAAATAAATCATTAATAATCGTGAATAATCACAGTATATAAAATAATCATGATTACTAATGATTATTTTATATTGTGGTTAATCCTTATTAGTCCATAGCTATGGTTTGATTAGTAAGATTAAAAATATTTGATTACTTTTTTAAAAAAGAATACATTCCTGCAGAATGTCCTCTCGAAAACTGGCCAAATCCAAGTATTTCTTATGCCAAACTGGATTAATTGGGTTGTGACAGGAAAACAGAAGCAAAACTGAAATGTAAGATTTACAAGACAGTAGACCTGCTGTGATGTATGGCTTAAAGACAGTGGTCCTGACCTGGACGTGGCAGAGATAAAGTTGCTGAGATCTTTACTGGGAGTGAGCAGGATGGACAGGATCAGTGATGAGCAGACCAGAGGGAGAGGTAAGGTGTAGCAGTTTGGAGATGAAGTTAGAGAGGAGAGATGGAGATGGTTTGGACACGTGTTGAGGAAAGATGGTGAATATATTGGACAGAGGATGTTGGAGACGCAGGCGAGAGAAGAGGAGGAAGACCTCAGGGTGATTTATGAATGTCCTGAAGGAGAACATAGTGTAACAGTAGATGAGGCAGTGGATAGGGTGAGATGGAGGTAGGTGATCTGCTGTGGCGACCCCTGACCCCTTAAGGGAACAGCTGAAAGAAGAAGCTAAACTGCATCAATATTCCTTGTCAAACTAATCACTTTGTTTCTGTTTGACCCCTACCTTCCTCAGGACTTCAAGAAAGTTTTCGAAGTGCTCTACTAGACTGCACTCCATCCATGTCACTGGTTCCAGTCCTGGACTTGCCTGACTCCCAGATCCTCCACCTGTCCTGTTGGCTGAGTTCATAGAAACACAGTCAAAGCATGTTTACAACCAAACTTCAGTCATGAACAGGAATGGAATGCAGAGAACACTGCGGTCCGTCACCTGCTGACACACAACAGAACTGCATAAACGCTCGTTAATACTGAATGTTTGTCATTGCTCTTTGTTGAAATGCAAACGCTTTGTCTGTCTTCAAGTCCCCTGTGGGAGTGGAGGATGTGTTTATTCCACTCTACACCCTGGAACGTTGACCAGTAATCCACTCTGACCCGCTGCAGCTGTTATTCAGCCTTGGAGAGGAGTTCGGTGGAACTGCTATAACCTAAGCCTGCATACCAGAACACAAGAGGCCATAGTCCACAAAGAGGAGACAGTAGCAGTGTCTCATTCCACGAGGTGATAAAGTATATCCCCTGGAATCCTCCTGTTTCAGGTGGAATTGCTCTTAGCACGCTAACTAACGCCCATCATAAAGGCCCAGCGCCAACACCGAGACCATCTGTTCGGTTGTAAACCTATAGATTTACTGTGTGACTGTGTTACTTAGCTGTGTCTGTGTTTGTGTGTGTGTGTAAGAGAGAGAGAGAGCGTGAAAGAAAGTGTGCGTGTGTGTGTCTGGCTCGCATGGTCCAAGGGATTCAAGGTGTGTTATTATTGTGTAATAGGCAATCAGCACCGAGCACCTGAAAAGATTAAGCCTCTTTATGTTTTGTATTGATTCTGAGGCAGCCTGGTTAATAGGAGAGAGACGCAGCAGCACGCAGCTGCAGGGCAACTCTGTGTGTGTGTGTGTGAGAGAGACAACGTGGAGAGAAAATAACACCATCAACCACTGCTCCTGGAACATTTCTTTTCTCAAAGATCATGAACTATATTGATGACTGCGTTGGAAATGCATCTTCATTCTGGCCATTCTCCTAATAGCGCTCAGGATGGTGCAGGGGCCGGTGTTTTGGACTATTGATCCTCAGCCGCCACAATATTGTTTTGATTGTTGTCATCAAAAGTTGAACATCAGAGGCAGCCAATAGAGCCATAAGATTATTTTATTGAAGGGTTAAAAACACAAACAGGCAAATATTTATGGGAGCAAACAATCTTAAACATGTGGTTTCAAAACGCTCCACCAGGGGGAGTTGCGAGATGATTGAATCATACAGTTGTTAAAAGCAACGGAGTAAAACTAGTGAGTATTTTGTGCAAGTACAGGTTTACTTACAGGTTTATTTCTAAACATCATTAAGTACTTACATAACAAAATAACATTAAAAAAATGTATCTTGTCATGTTGCCATGTTTTGTTGTATTAAACATAATAAATCCAGTAGGCATGACAGTTTTATTTACCATTTTGTTTATTTTACGTTTACCTTTAATTTTTAATTTTTTTTAAAAAAATTCCACCGTTACTTAAACATCAAAAACATGTATATATCAAATATATCATAATATATAATCGTTGGCCACAGGAAGGCACTGTGTACACTTATGACAGCTGAATGCTGCTGCAGAAACGACAGGACTAAACTACTAAGACCAAAAAGAAACAATGTACATCCCTCAGCACATAAAATCCATCAAAATTAATTAATGGATGTATAAATTAATATATCAACATTAAAGGTCATGGTATCAGCTGTGACCTGATTCTACCCCCTCTCCCTACCTCGAGCTTCTTCTTCTTTGGTATTTAACAGCAGCTGGCATGCTTTAACCTGCACTACTATTACCTTTCCTGATGTCTAGTGAAAGAGAGGGACAACTGTCCTGCAGACAAGACACCCCTAGGCTCATATATATTTCATGTAAATTCCTGAAATTAAAAATGTCCAAGGAAATGTAATATTTCTGTATAATGCAGGACATTTTTTCAGGAACATTTTCCAGAAAAGAAGCCCTCTGATCACCATTCAGAACCTGTCAACACTTTTATATCATATTGTCAACATGACCTACTATTTTCCTGTGATCGTGTTTCCACAAACTCTGTGTATATGTAATAGAGTCTCATCATGCCTATATCGTGGCCTGTGGCAGACACATTTGTTTGTCTTTACAACAGTGTTCACTTACAAAATGAGAAAAGACAGGATGACATTTACTTTTCTCATGTGTTTTGTCAAACACGTGACGTTTCCAACCTTGCTGACCTGCAACCACACTGCAAACAAACTAGCTGCTGTGGCTAACGCTGTCCTTTGTGTGCAGCAAACAAGCCTGCGGCTGTTGTCATTGTGGCCTTGTACGTGGACTTCAACTCTATGTTTCTTCCTCCAGGCTAACCATGCTGATGTGTGCGCCTTTGTTACAAAACAGCAGTGGTTCTACTTTAGGGAGTCTTGGTCAGAAGCACCCTTGCCACATAAAACACCTCACATAAACTGTGGTTTTGTTTGTTTGTGTATACAAATCATTTGCATTGTTTTGTATGGTAATATTGTAATGATATGTTTTAAAGTCCTGTTGCAGAGGCACAATGAAATTTGTTTTAGCTGTTGAACTAGTGCGTCTTATTCAGTGGTGTCTGCTGCCATCTTTTGGTCAACCTACGGAGCGCATTAAGATGACCAAAATATGTGTATATCTATTTTAGAATAATTGAAAAAAAAAAAAACATTTATTGACCACAAAACAAGTATTTAGGATCACGTTCTGACTTTTAAAAATGTGTCAAATATGTATAAACACTAAGAAGTGGACAATTCTATAAAAAATAAAGTGCAAACAATTGTTGAATCCATTTGACACTACTCAAAGCTGTAGTCCATATTTTTCTTACGTGTTTCAAATGTACGTCTTTGGGTCAATCCTGGTTTCTAAATATATTTTATACACTTAAAATGTCCGGCGAGGCGCCACTAGCAGACAAATAGCATGCTTCTTTTTCGTTCGTATCATATATGTTCTTCGATTACATATAGTATATTAGATAATTTAGACAAACAATAACTACATTTGCATCGTTTGCTGTAGTCGGGAACAAAAGATTTTTTTTTGCATGCTATCGAACACATTGTCTAACACACACACACCGTTTCCGCCATGACGTCAGAAATGGTGTATCGTTTTTAACGTTTCTTCCGTGTAGTTTAAGCCACAATCTTTTTAGTTTATTTTACTTACATATTCAAATCTTTGTGTACACATGTACATAATCTCGTGTGTGTAAAACAATTAATAATTTCAGTCTTGTTTGACAAATCTGCGTGCTCTGTGTTTTAAGGATAGCTTTTAAGGACTGTATAATGTAAATACAAAAAATATACAAAAAACAATTTGCAATCGGAACATAACATAACACTTAATTTTTTTTTAACTCCAAGCACTTTGATTTAGATGTTGCATTTTAGTTTGCATAAACTGGAGGAACTGAACTGTTGTGGTATTTGTACCTGGGGACTGTTTATAACAACGGACCCACAGCGGAAGTTGGTCGCATTCGCCGCGTTTTGTTGGTGTACATGTGAAGAGAGCAGTTCTTTGGAACTTAACTTATGTTTAAAAAATAAAGGTTAGTGAATTAATTGTATGAAATATTTTGTTCGCCATTATAAAAATCGCGCAAAATGAAATATAAACCATCTTCTCATTGTGTCGTAGTGCTGTTAGCTTTTTAGCCTAGCTATTTTTACGGAAGCCCATAGTAAAAAGTTCAAAAGTAAAAACATTACATGTGTATATGTTTAAACCGCAAGCTGTTTAACCGTAACCGTTATTTTTGTCATACATTTAAACGTGCTATGGTTTCTTAATGACTAATTTTGTCTTGTTCGATTGTCTGTTTCTGGTGTAAAACATCTATGGTTTACTTTATTTTTTGTCCACAGCACCACTGTAGCCGATTGTAATGGCAACAATGGAGAAAGAAACCCCCGCTAAAAAGGCTGCAGCCCCTTCCGTGTCTCAGATTAATGCAGAATATGTCACACAGGTAGCTGCATGAACACACACTTATAACTTCATGTAACCAACTTTTAGTTTTAACAGGAGCAGTGATTGCCAAATTATGGAGAATTTAATATACAGTGGGTTACATATCCATTACAAAGTGAAGTTGGAAGATTTCTATGCAACATATTTTCATATTTAGTTTGTTTAAATGTCAACTTAAATACGTGAAGGCATCTCTAAGGTGTCAGTGTTTTCATCGTAACATATCTGTCAAGATACATTTGCTTTAATAATTGAAATTTAAACCAAATTTGTGTTCACTGCTCTGCAACTTCATCACAAAGCAACATTTTTGCACTTGTTTCTGAATTTGTTTAATTGGCTAAAGCATTTGTGCCACTAAATAATCTGTTGTTGGTGCATTTATCACTACATCCTTGTATATGTCTGTTTTCATATCTGTTTTTATTTTCAGTTGGCCAACAAATACTGGGCTCCTCATGTACCGAATAAACTAGCTTTTGACCCAAAGGTAAATCTTATGTTTAGTCTCAAATGTATTTTTACCTGTGACATTTATTGTAAAACTGACAACATCTATTGTTTATATGTATTTACTAGTTTATTTAAACCAAAAACAATTGTTTGATGTTTGGGTAGGTGATGGAAGACATATATGATAAAGAGATTCTGAAGTCAAAGTAAGTGAAGATTAAGTTGCTTATGGTATTATCTCTTCTCTAAGAATGTAGAGTTATTCTATGTAGAATTATAGTTTTCATTCTCTGCCCTGTGTGTTTTCAGATTTTCTATCAGAAAAATCATGCTGCTGGAGTTTAGGTGAGTTTCACTTCCTGGTAATATGCTTATCACCACTAAAATAAAAACAGCACTTGATGACTAGGTAGTTAACATCAAATCATCTTTTTTTCAGTCAGTACCTTGAAAACTATCTGTGGGTCAACTACACTCCTAAGGATTCTAGTAATGCCTACATCATGTCCATATGTTGTATAATCAATGAGAAGTTCAGAGAGAATGTTCCAGCCTGGGAGGTAAAAAGAAATCCCTATTTTCATTTAGACAACCTGTTACCAAAGTTTTAACACTAACCTCTTCTTGTGTTTTATGGTAAATTCTAGGTGTTCAAAAAGGAGCCCAAACACTTCCCTTTCTTTTTTAAACGTGTGATGGAAGCTGTTCTGGCAGGTGACAAAGCCGGCCTCACTCTGAAGGAACAAACGGTGCTGCTGGTCTTTCTGGATCACTGCTTTAACAGTCCGGTAAGTACTGCTTTAGTGTCTTTTTGCTGAAGGTTGCAATACAAAGAATTCAGGTATCCTGATGGCATTTTTCAAAACTGACATAATGATGTATATATAATTAATGAATGGACAGATACTGAGCAGAGTATTTACACCAATAGTTCATTTATATTGAAAACTTCTGCTGAGGTGTATTTTCATGTGTTTGTTAAATTTCTTATAAGGTAACAGAACACATTTCTGTTAGCCTAGCTAACCGCCGTGTTTCTGATGTTAAACTACCTCTAAACGCCTGGCATTGTGACCCACTTGAATTAACTACCTATGAACAGTGTGGAACTGGCTGCAAAAGACTGACAGACTAGTGCGCAGCTAGTTATATTTAAAAGCCGTTACGGATAATCGGTTCTCTGGATTTGTACGTATAGGATCCGATATCCCTAAAAAATACATTGTTGTATTGAGTTGTTAAAAGGATTGCAGTTGCTCATAATGTCCGCTGGATGGCGGCCCTACACCAGTCAGTGTAACCTCTCACATCCTCGTCTGTAACTGTATAAAACCACCGGGAAGCACTGCAGTCTCATCCGTCGTGTCCTGGGCTTTCATCTCCTCGTTTGAAGGGCTCTAAATATTTTAGTTGCAGTTCTTTATTACAGGGTAAAGTGTAATAATAATCTGTTATATGTTGTAGATTTTGACATCACCTTCCCCTCACTCACTCACTCACTTGCACCCTCTTCTTCTCCTTGTCTCCCAGGAGGTCGACTTGATTAGAGAACAGGTGCAGCAGCTCATCTCTCTGCCCATGTGGATGTGCATTTTACCAGTAAGATGCTAACCTAATTGCCCATTGTCCCTGTGTTCCTTGACTTTCTGCAAAATACACATTATTACTAATGACTCCATTCTATTGAGAAAATACTTAAAGAATTTGTTTTATTTTCTTTTTTAAGTCCCGACTCCAACAGGAGTTGAAGAAAACCCCAAAGCTGCAGAAGGTCTGGAATCTAATAAAGAAGCAATTTGATAAGATGGATGCTGACGCAGCTGAGCAGTAATTTATTTTTACTTCCTCCCTCTTGCTTTTTATGTCAGATTTGATCAAATCCCAAACACACATGTTGGCAAAATCATTCTAATATTTTTTGTCATGTATCTTCGTCAGGTCAAAGAAAGAGTGCACCTTTCTGTCGGCTCTCATTAAGAAATTTCTTGGGGTCCTGGCATCGATTCCAGCTTCAGGTAAATAGTAGAAAATAACATTGAGTTTGACGTCTGAAGGTGTTGATTAAAACTCTAAGTCCTGAACAATGAAGAATTTTTTTTTTTTAAATCCTAAAATCAAATAGAAAACACTAACAAAAAGGTAGCAAGCAAAGTTTAAACAAGTTACATTCTGCAATATGCCTGCAAAAAAGGATGAGTATTGGTTCGCTACATTTTAATTAACTCTCCAGGAGAAATGTATGGGAAAAAATATGAATATAGTATTCTTTTAGCCACTAAACTTGACATGTATTTATGTTAACTTTTCACCTGTTTTTGCTCCTCAGCTTACTCTATTTCCTCCCTATGTCCTGCAGCCTCTAATGTCCCTTGTTCCTTCAAGACAAGATTCCAAATCTGACTACTTATGTTTACCATAGTCTCTCTCACACAAACACACACACAACATACAACATACACACACAAACACTCAGCATAGTCTCTCTCACACAAACACACACAACATACAACATACGCACACAAACACACAGAAATTCTAAAAATAGATGGTGATTTTTTTGTTTTGTTGCCAACCCAACCTGACAGACCAAATCATGATCTAAAGCCCAGCAGGAGCCTCAGTGCTGTGTTACTTATTGTCTTCCCCTTGACTTTGAGTACTTACACACCATCACATGCACACCAACATGCCCTAATGAGGGCTGAGTTCCCAGCATGCTTCTCTGCCATTAGTGTGGAATCTCACTGCGAGGCTCTCACGTACTCACACACACACACCCAGTGTGGCACGTCGGTGTTGTCCACATGCGTTTGCTGCTCTCATGTCCTTGGTGAAAACAGCACAGACATCCTCTCTGCTGCGCCATCACAGTCCTTTAGTTACATCCACACGTCTGACAGGTACTCCCTGTCATTGACAGCACTAGGCCTCACTGAAATTGTTTTTTTCGTCTAAGGGGTTACAGCATCGGCTCCACCACCAGATGGCGCCTTACCACCTGTGTGGCCTTTGCCAAGAAACTGGCTCTAATTTAGAGCAGATACTGTATTTTTCAGTCAAAAGCAGTGCTTCCCAAACCTTATCTGCAGTGCCCTCCTTTTGTAGATAGGAATATTGTCACCCACCCTAGAGGGGCCTGCCCTTCATCCCCATTGAAACAACTACTCCAGAGTAAAATACTCATCTGCATGTTTCTTCATTCTTTCTGCAGACACTGGATCCATGGACAAAGTCCATTACTGTGAGAGGTTCATTGAGCTCATGATTGACCTGGAGGTAAGACATACTTTATCTTACATGATGTCCACATCCAAACCAGCTCTATGTACTGTACCTACATTAGGGGCCAGTCTGGGCTTGCAGCATATGCTTAAATGCTGGCATCGGTGTGGACATCTGACTCTGCAGAGCTCACCGGTCCTTTCGTCCTTCATGTTTATAGCTAAGTCAGGTCAACAGACAGAGGATAAATGTCCCGTCTCAGCTCCTCCTAATGCCTCACTGTCATTGCTGCCTGCATGTAGTGCATTATTTTAAACGGGAGTCTTTGATCAGAATAAAGGAGGTTATTTTCAGTCTGGCCTTTGACATTTGAGGTTTAGGCTCTCAGACTGGAACCTTAAATTAGTATTGTTTAATAAAAAAACAAATATAACTTCAAATGAATAAATATATATAAGCAAATTAATAAGACTTGAATTATAACTACATTTAAATTACAGTAGGTACAATTAAAAAATACTTTCTCATAGAATTGTCAAGGAATAGTTGTAGATTTTAATGCATGTGTTTTTTCATGTTTTCCTTAAAATAATTTTAAGTTTGTATTTTTAACAGACCAGCAACATTAATCCATTTGAAAGATATCAGTAAACAAAGCAAAATTAATTTTTAGTGTTCATTGTAGATGTACATTTGGTGTGGCAGATTCTCTGGAAGTGAAGAGACAATTTTACATCACATCATTGCTCCTGCTGCCTCAGCAGATTTTTCTGCTGCTAGCAAGCAAGCTCAATAGATTTCAACTGTCCGCCTGCTGACAGGCCGGCCTTCCTGTTCCTGGCAGCGGCTTGTGGCTGCCAGAGACAACTGTCCCTTAGCACTATCCTTTTACAAAACCTCAGTTGTCTGAAATCCATACTTCCCCTCTCTGATGACAACTGGAAAATGAATGCAGGATCCTGACTTGTTAGTCTCCTTTTCTCCCGGCTGTCAGGAATGCTGAGATCAGAGGTGTTCATTGAATACAGACGTATCTGTTCTTTCACTGTTTGGGTGTAATTCTTTCATTTAATATACAGTATATACCAAGTGTATAGTGTATGTGTGAGTATATGACTGTGTGTGTATTCTTCAAAAGAAGCTTTTGTTTCATATTCTGTTACTATTTGGTCTGGACACTTGTCCAGTTACAGACTATTCTATGTAACAGACTCTTCACCCAGACGTTGAGTTCTTTAAAACCTTCCATATTTTACATTAATGTTTTCTCCCAAACCTCCTCTATGGTCTCATTTGATGTGTTGGGTTATTTTTGTATTTGCTTTCACATCCTGTTCTATTTCTGTTGTGTGGAAAACAGAGGAAGAAGTTATCGATCGATGAGACGTATAGATAATCATGGTACAGTTTCTGGGAAATGTTGGTTGTCGTTATACTTGGATGAATTGATTCTTTTACCCCCAGAGAGAGGGGTCATTTCCTTATACAGCCTTTTTTTGTTGAAGCCTAATGTATACGGAGAAAAACAAGTTACATACAGTTTTGAACCAATCAAAAGAGATTTCCTTTCTAACTGTAAGGTTGGAGGTTAACCAAGGTTTCCATGTGTCTTTAGGCCCTGCTGCCCACTAGACGTTGGTTCAACACAGTGTTGGACGACTCTCATTTAATGGTCAGATGCAACCTGTCCAGCCTTACCAAAAAAGAGAAGGAAGGACATCTTTTTTGCCAGGTATGTTATTAGTCATGTAGACTCACAGTCAGATTTAAATCTTACATTCAAGTTTGGTTTAAACTGAGTCTTTAAGTCAATGGAACTGTTTTAATTCAAGTTAAGTTAGTTAGTTAACTGCTTGAGTAAAAACATGTAAAGTAAAATGGTTCTATATATCTGTTCTACCTGATATGTTTTGATATGTTGTGTGTAGTCCTTACACCTAGAAGACACACTGAACATGTGTCAAACTCAAGGCCAAAGTATTTCATACTGTCCTCTCTTTATTTGCTTGGATTGGATCTCTGTTTATATGCCCCACCTTTTAGCCCACAAGCATAACTGTAATTGGCTCTCGTTCTCATTTGTTTCTTCCATTTACATGATGAAATCAGCTTTGATTTGACTTTGTCCTTACCAGATTTTCTCTAAATTTGTTTTTAACAGATGAATAATGCATCAGTGAATTTTATCATTGTAATTTATCGCCATACACTGTCCTATTTTGGTTTTGTTTAGTTTTCCTTATTAGAAAAGAAGGTTGTAGACTAAGTAAAGAATTCTAAGTCTAAGAAATGAACACTGCTTACAGTCGTTCGTTCATGTACAGATCAACCTTAGCCCTGATCTGTTCGTGTTGGTTTGTCTTGATAGTTGCTGGACATGCTGAAGTTTTACACTGGCTTTGAGATCAATGACCAAACAGGAAACGCCCTCACACAAAACGAGATGACGAAACTGCACTACGACAAAATCACCTCCCTACAGGTAAGGCTTTTTTTTTCAACTCCCATCTGTGCAAGTTTGGGTTTTCCGTGATTGTATAAAAACTTGCTCGACTTCCCTGCTCTTTTCTTCTCTTCTACAGAGAGCAGCCTTTTCTCATTTCCCAGAGTTGCACGACTTTGCTCTGTCAAATGTAGCTTCAGTCGACACCAGAGAATCCTTGACGAAACACTTTGGGAATCTGAGGTGAGCTAAAAAAACACTGAAATAGATCATGAACAACAAACACATTGAATTTATGGCATCTCATTTGCATTGGATTAATGGAGACAAGGAGACCTAAGTGGCTCAACCTGAACAACTTAGTCCTGTTTTACATTAACAGCATCAGCACTATTTTCCTGCCTGACTTCCCTGCTAAGTGGCAGCAAGTGAGCCCATGAATGGGCAGCTGGTACCAGCCAGAGTAGGAGGCATGCCTCATTAATTTAATCGATCTGCAGTGGCTTGAAAATAAAGTCTTTGAACAGCTGTGTTTATCAGATCATATAGAGCTGCCAAAGGGAGGAAAGAGGATGCTCGCTCTTGGACACTAGTCTGTGGGCAGTTGTTTTAAATAAGATATTTTTCTCACGTTATAAATATATAGTATAGTAGTTCTACCTCAATCCAGGGTTATTTAACTTCTGCTGGATTGCTCCAAATATGTGAATAGCATTTTTTGTCTGTATACGTACCTAATACCTAATTCTAATACCATTCTTCTTCAGCTGCGCATACCATGGACTTTGTTTACAAAATTGTCATCGCCTTCCTCGTGCATAGCATCAGAAGAAACTATAATGTATGCAGATACACAGATGCAGTCGGTCGACATCATGTGGCCGTACTAACCTGTCATAAGTGTGTAAGATGTCCAGTCTCTGTACCAGACCGTGCCATGTTACTGTTTGTCAGCCTGCTTAAAGCAGGTCTGTGTGGAGAGATCCACAGAGATGGAGATGGACTTTTCATAATCCTGTTGCATCAGTGCACCTCCGCCTCTTTGCACACTTGCTGATGGAGCAGAAGTAAACTCCCTGTCCCTGTAGTTATAAGTACAAAGATTCCTATTCGGAGGTTGACAAGATACCTGAACTAGATTTATTTCCATATTTGACTTTTCATAATGCTTTCTTTCTCCAACACTACAAATATTTTGAATGGATCATTTTGAAGATATCTTCATGATCAGATAATTAAAACTACAAGAATGTTATTTTCCTTGTTAACCATCCACGTTCATCTTCTTCTCTAGTCCCAACATGCTCCACCAGGTGGCCTCATACCTATGTCTGCTGCCAGAGCTGCCTGAAGGGCAAGACACCAACTTCGAGAGAGAGGTTCTCCTGGAGCTCCTGGTTGGTGATTCTTGTCAGGCATATGATATATATCATTAGTTGTAGCCTGCACATCAGTGCATGATGCAGGTTGTTTTCCAAATAAATTATTTTAAACAAGTGGCTCGTAGTCCAACAGTAGCCGTCATTTGAGGGTCACTGGTCTAAAGAAACAGGTCTGCAGGTGAATGCCAAAATTGTTGCATTCTGAATTTTATTTTTAACAATATATTAGACTGTTTTCCAAATATTATACCCCCCACACTTATACACACACACACCAACATCCCTTGTAACCTCTTCATCACTGTGAGTGACTCAATACTGCCCTGCAGTTATTCCTAATTACCCACTCAGACCCCCCTCCTCTCTGAGAACCAAGTTTAAAAATTACATGTGATGGGACCATTGTGGTAGACGATGTTGGGGGAGGGCTAATTTGTGTGGGCCTCTGGTTCTGCCCCACAACCAATATCCTTGATAGAGTGGGACATTAGGACAAGGCCACAGGTCCAAGACAGTGTCACATAAAAACATCAGGGTCAAAGAATTGCTGAGGCTGGGTGAGTTTTTTGGATAACTTTTTTATACACTAGTGCCATTGTTTGGCTCAGTTGTGTTTCCTCTGGTGTAACACACAACCTGATTTTGTATTCTGGAGTTGCAGTCATCCTTCCTGACGAAGTGAATAATTCACGTCATGTGGCTTTGTCCTAAAAACAACAGAACATCCAAAGTTCAAAGTAAAAAACAAACATGATTTATGTTTTTGGCAAATTAGACATTAGACATTGATTGTCTTAATGAATGTAGAAGTACTTCTTATCTGAATCTCATAGCTTATATTGATGTAGTCTGTCAGTGTTGTCTGCTAAAAACCAGGAGCTTTTTAGTAGAACTGCTGAGAATGTCTTTGGATTAACTTGAAACCATCAGTTCAGCAATTCTCCTCCAGATTACTATACTTACTATATATCCTACTTATTATGAAATGGCAGAGGAAAACTGGATAAACCTCAATGGACTTCTCCAATAAATTTAGCTTTTAGGCCAATGCTGTAAAAAAAAAAAAACTTCTTTCCTAGGACAGCGAAAGCTTCACTGCTTGTTCTGTTTCCTGTCACACAAACACAGGTGTCTCGTCATGAGCGAAGAATCTCTCAGATTGAGCAACTCAACCAGATGCCCCTTTATCCAACCGAGAAGATAATCTGGGATGAGAATATTGTCCCAACAGAGTACTACTCAGGAGAAGGTGTGTGTAAAATGTATCTGTTCTGCTGTTTTTAATGAGATAAAAACAAATGCTCACCCTTATATACATCTTATCTGTAACATGGGAGTATAAGTATATAAAGCTGATGTTGTTGGATATTTTTGTAATTTATTGTGCATATTTATTTTCTTACTTATTATTTGTCTTTCTCCCCAGGCTGTCTGGCTCTTCCTAAACTGAATCTTCAGTTCCTGACCCTCCATGATTACTTGTTGAGGAACTTTAACCTCTTTCGTCTAGAGTCCACCTATGAGATCAGACAGGACATAGAAGATGTGGTGTGGCGTATGAAACCCTGGTGAGATGTCCTCTATTCTAAAAAGTTCCAAAAAACCCTTTTTTGTCAGAAGGCCTAGAAAACAATGATACTTTTAACAAGCTCTTTAACAAATGTAACAGTGTAGAGTTTTATTAATATTAGTAAATAAAAAAAAAATCAAATTTCTCCTCAACTCCTCTCCTTTCTCTCCCCATCTAGGCAGTCAGAGTATGGTGGAGTCGTGTTTGGGGGCTGGGCCAGGATGGCTCAGCCAATCACCACCTTCTCTATTGTGGAAGTTGCCAAGCCAAATATTGGAGAGAGCTGGCCTGCTCGAGTCCGAGCCGACATCACCATCAACCTCAACATACAAGATCATATCAAGCATGAGTGGGAAGGTAATGGTTCTGTGTTTCTGGTGGTCAGTTAACGATGTAGTTGAGCAGATATTTTTGCATTTATCATCAACAATGTTACATGAAATTAGCCTCATGTAATATTTTATTCCATACGATTTTACTCCCTACACATGCATTTTCTTTCCTCTCACACATTTGTATTCTTCTTCTGTTATTCTGTCATAAAATACACTTTATGACTATGCCATAAAATACTTCCTGTCTATCACATTGCACATTTCATCTACTTGGGCCTTGACTACTGCCCTCTGCTTACCTCATGTCTCTATATAGCCTGGAGCACATTGTTTAATTTCCAGTCTTTTTCTAATGTCTTGTGTTCAATGCAGCCGTCAATCGTCAACAGATGCGTAAACACTAGTTTTAAAATAAAGAAAAAAACATGTAGAAAGTGTAGAAACTGAATTGTTTCATATTATTTCTTTAGAAAAAGTGTTATCTCCAGTCGTTCTTATAATTCTCTCCGTCCCTTTAGGTTTGCGGAAGCACGATGTTTGCTTTCTGATCACAGTGCGACCCATCCTCCTGTACGGCACACGCTTCGACCGTCGCCAGTCTTTTGTGGAGCAGACAGGTCTGGCCTATGTGAGAGGCTGCGAGGTCCAGGGCATGCTCGATGACAAGGGGCGAGTCATTGAGGAAGGTATGCTCTAATAGGCACCTGAGTCATTGAGGAAGGTATGCTCTAATAGACACCTGAACACACACACACAGACACCCACACACCTACACCCACACACCTAAAGATACACGTTCTCAAACCCAAGTGACAGATAACATCCATCCTCCTGTCAGATCTCCCATACCTAATCACACCTGATTGATCCTAAGGACAGGTTGAGGCTGGTGTTGTCATGGTAACAGTCACAGGCTGGAAGGCTGACCTGTCCACATTAACATTCCATTAACTTGAGGTCAGCAACAAGACTAGAAAGCTCCAGGCCCTGCCCTCTGTTTTGCTCAATGGATTTGGGCGCTAGAGATTTGTCTCATTTAAAGGACGATGAATGAATTGCTTCCTATAAAAATTAAACAGTGTCACTATGTGGCAAACAGTTCAGTCTGTCTGCTGTGATTTACAAAATTAGAAAAGCTTATTTTAGCCATCTCATCCAGTGTATTTGACTGTGACCAATGATCTGGGTATATTCTTGATTGTTTTTTTTTTTTGATTGGTGCACTGACCAAATACCTGTTTCACATTTAAATTATTGCATTTACAAGGGTTTTTTACACAATCAGAATGAATTTTTACCTTCTTCTCTGAGTGAACACTTTGGGAAATTCTATTTCACATCCCTCCCAGAATACCTGGCCTAACCTTTGTTAAGCTTAGTTCAACCTGTGTAATTTCAGCACCTAAGAAAATATGCAATGCATTGAAAAACACCTCCAACTAAACATCATTGGTAATGATGTCATGTTTCTTCTCTTTCTCCTCAACCTATTCTTCCAGGACCTGAACCAAAGCCCAAGCTGCGAGGAGACACCAGAACATTCCGTGTCTGGCTGGACCCCAACCAGTATCAGCAGGACATGACCAGCAGTATCCAGAATGGCACAGAAGACCCATATGAGACTTTTAACATCATCATGAGGCGAAAACCCAAAGAGAACAATTTCAAGGTTTGCATCACACAGTCCCCGCCCCACTGCAGAATTTATGTAAGGGTGCACTCACTTGGGCCGTTGGACTGCACCCAGGCTTGATTGCCCCCTAAAGTATAAGATAGGTAACCTGCTACAACACGGTTGGAAGTACTGGGCACAGAACATGGGAGTAAGCTTGCGCACATACACGGTTAAGTACATCACGTGCTACTGACTGCAAAAGAAGAGATGAGCATAACTTAGCAGTTAAATGTTTTTAACTTTTAATCTTAAATTGTCTTTTCTTTGTTTTGTTATTCTCACTGATGTCAGTTTATATAAGTAATGGAAGTTATTTATGCAGAAATATAAAATTCTCATAACTGCTTTTTCAAGTCTCCCTACACATTCACATTGTCAGTCTTTGACAGCAGCAAAAGAACCAGCCAGCTGTCTGAGATTATATTTTGGATCCGCTATTAATACAAAGAACAGGAGCTGAAGGGCATTTAATGCACGACACAAAAAAAAAACTGAGTTCAAACGTAGATAGACAGTTTGTTGCTCGTTAAAATATAATTGACTTTCTTTTGCTATCTTGTGAGGCTGAATATGTTTTTGTTTTCAACACTTCTCTGTCTGTGATAGTATAACCATACCTTCTTTGCCCTCATTTCCTCCCTTTTTTCCAGGCTGTGCTAGAAACCATTAGACACCTGATGAACACAGAGTGCGTTGTTCCCGACTGGCTACACAACATTATCCTTGGCTACGGTGATCCAGGCAGTGCCCACTACTCCAAAATGCCCAATCAGATTTCTGAACTGGACTTCAACGACACCTTTCTCTCCTTGGATCATTTACGCTCCAGTTTCCCTGGCTATACCATAGAAGTCCAGGAGGAGAATCCTGACCTTCATGTCCCTCCTTTTAGGTAGGTGTCAGAAAATCAACAATGAAGAGAAAAAGTCATTTTTTGTATTCCCAAATAAAAATTAGACCATGTTTTATTGTTAGCTCTCATACGGTTAGCAATAGTTGTAGCTAGAATTCAATATTGCTGCCAAATTGCATGCAAAATGTATTGGCGTATATTTATTACAGACCTTTTGTCCTGTGTTTGTTATTCCAGAATCAAGTTTCCTATCACAGAAAAAAAAGAAAAGGGGAAAAAGAGGAAAGCAAATGAAGAATCAGAACCCAAACAGGAGGACAAAACTTTGGTCATCGAGCCTTATGTTACGCCCAACCGTGGACCATATCCCTACAACCAGCCCAAACGGTGAGTGATTAAAGCATAGATTCATTAGTAGTTTGTTTCATCTATATGTACTATTACGTGTAACAGATGTAACTATGATTTTATTAAAGACCTATTCCCTGTTACCTGTTGTGTTAACATTAACAATGTAAATTTCTCACAGAAATACCATTCAGTTCACCCCGACTCAGATTGAAGCCATTCGAGCTGGGATGCAGCCAGGACTCACCATGGTAATGACTTACTATATGATGAGTCTGCAACACATTGACAAATGACGTCTTCTAGCAAATACACACAATTTATGATGTCAGTGAAGACCAAAATTCTAACCTTGGATATCCTGAATTTATACTTTAAAAATAGTGGTCCCCAATATTTTCTGCAGTTCATCATATGCCTCATGTATTCCCAGCTATGTTTCCAAAACACAACATTTAATATAACTTTGATTCTACTCTTTCCTTTCTTTTTTCAGAACTGTTGTTAAAACAACTGTACATTGTGTAGTAAGTACTGTGGGTCTTCATATAGTCCAATCTTCATGAAGTCATCACTTGTACTGTTGAGGGATTGTCATGCTGTCTGGATGGCCTCCCACATCAATGACTGCAGATACAACAGACACATCATTTTTCAAGTAGCTGCTTTGTAATAACAGACTTGCAGTCATTAATCTTAGTGATGTATGGTAAGGAGTTCCCTCATCAGTATACATGCTGATGCTTCACATCTCCTCCCTCATCAGCAGTGGGCAGCATCAGCAAATATTCCCTTAAATTATGTTTAATTTCCACATTTCCAGGGAAGCGTTCGTTCACATCAAACAAACAGCCTCTGATCGTAGCAATGGAAATATCCAGTTCACAGGCACGTCCAGCTCTATGTCATTCCTGGCTGCTCTGGTATCTCTGGTGTGTCACACACTTTTTAGCCAGTGCTATTTCCCTGTAGCGATTGAAGACTGGCAGCGCTCGCTCTTGTGTTATTTATTGTGCAGCTTTCTGAGACTTATACAGCCAGATGTCCATCAGCAGAGTCGTAAAAGTGATTCAGCTTCTCTTGTCTGACATCCCTTCTTTGGCACATGTCACAGTGGCTTAGCAGCAATAACATATACACAGACACAGCAGCTGATGGTCTGCCTTGTTTGGTTTACATGT